TCGCCTCGGCGACGCCGATATTCCAGGGAGAACATATTCAAATGCTGGAGACGAATGTGATATGGCAGGTGTCGGAACTCAAAGATATACTTAGAACCGCGTCGCTGAACTTTTTCAATCAAGCCATGTTCAAGCTTTGTAAGTGGATGAACTGCGGGTAATCCATATTCGAGGATTGGACGCACATGGGAGGAAAAGATAAGTCTGAAGATCTCCGGCGTCAATCGTGAGAAGGCTCTTCGGATAGAACACAGTAGTCTGTTAGCCGCAGCAACCTTCTTCAAAGTATCTTGGGTGGTTTTTAGATCACAGCATACTATAACACCAAGGTCTCTTTCCTGTTTCACATTATTAAGCAAATAACCACCAAGGTGGTAAACACCGAATGGTTCAGTAGCACCAATGGGGAGTACAGAACATTTATCGCGATTTATAGGCAACTGCCATTTAAGAGACCAATCGTGCAGCCGATCCAGTGTATTTTGGAGGCGGTCAGCATCCTCAGCGCTGGTTACCTCCATCCATAACTTCAAATCATCTGCATAGATCAAGCATTCGGTCCGGAGGGTTGAAGGAAGGTCGTTAATGAAGAATTTGAACAACTCTGGTCCAAGAACAGAGCCCTGAGGAACGCCACTGCTCATAAGGACGGAGGGTGAATACGTATTGTTGACCTTAACTCGCATAATTCGGTCTGAAAGGAAATCCGAAATCCACGACAAAACCCTCCCAGAGACACCAATTGCTTGAAGTTTGAACAAAAGCCGCTCGTGAGGAACTTTGTCAAACGCTTTGCTGAAATCTACGTAGATAACATCCATACGTTTGCCAGCATCCAGTGAGTTCGCCCATTTCTCTCTGGAAACTAACAAATTGGTGGTACACGAGCGTGACTTACGAAAGCCATGCTGAGCAGTAGAAATCACATTCCGGTCGTCGAAGTAAAGGCTGAGAGCTCCCTTGAGAATCCGTTCCATAATTTTACACATTACTGATGTTAGGCAAACGGGACGATAGTTTGCTGGGTCTTGGCGGTTCCCTCCTTTAAATATGGGCTTGACAATACCCAGCTTCCAGGCTGATGGAAGGCGTCCGGATTCAATAGAGCAGCGAAACACATGACAAGCTGGGGCTGCAATGTACTTAGCCACGGTCTTGAGAAACAGTGGGTGCAGGCCATCAGGACCGGGCGAGGTGTTCGGATCTAACTGAAGAAGGAATTGAGTAACAGTTTCCGTACTGATCTCGAGATGATCCAGCAAAGATGAGCATGGGAGTACTACGTCAGAAAACGGAGTTTCATTTGTAAAAACGGATGAATACTGTTGAGCTAAGAGATCCGCTTTCGCAGCATCCTCCTGAAGTAAGGCAGCGTGTTCACTGGAATACAGAGATGGAATGCCATTACCACCTTTGGTACCCCTTTTCAGATATGAGAAGAACATTTTGGGGGAGCACCTGGACTGCACAGCTAATTGAAATTCGTAGTTTTGGCGATTCTCCCGCTTCTTCAGGATACAAAGGTTCCTAAGCGTTTTGTACTGCAAGTAGTCGGCCGTCGATTGTGTACACTTGAATCGATCCCATAATTTGCGTCTTTTATTCATCAGAGACCTCAACTGTTTGTCAATCCAAGGAGGACCTCTTGTTAGACCTCTACTTTTAGAAATAGGAACAACCTGGTTGATTAGCGACATCATGTTGGAGTAAAAGTGAGTCCAAGCATCGTCAACACACAAAAAATGAGGAATGGTCCAGTCCATGTTAGAAGCAGCCTCCTGCAGACGCTGTGGATCGGCTCGCCAGAAATTACGCCGGAAATCACCTTGGTCATGAACAGAAAACCGACGTGCCCATTGGAAGGAAATAGCACAGTGATCGCTCTTACCAATAGGTTGCATAATAACCAGGTCGGTGACATCTGACGGCATCGGGGATAACACTAGATCAAGAATGTGCGGCGTTTGGCCTGAGAACAACCGAGTGGGTGAAAATACATGCTGAGACAAGTTACAATCGAGAACGGTCTGAAGGAGAAGGGCATCAAAAGAGTCAAAAGGAAGACCACAATAAAGCAGGTCCCAGTCAATGCCAGGTGCATTGAAGTCTCCAACAATTAAGCAGTCCTTACCTTTGGCGTGCGATTTAATTGAATCCAGTAAAAGAGCTCCCGAACCCAAGGGAGATCTATAGGCGACACAGACCAGGAGAGATCTACACCCGTCATGAATACGACACCACAGAGCTTCGAAGCCACCATCTATATCACAAGTAGCATCAAGCAAATGTGCCTTGAGGTTCGTCCTCCAATAGAGTATAACGCCCCCGCCTGACCTCACTCCGTGGCGATCAGCTCGGGAGAAGTGATATCCAGGGATATATACTTCCGAGTCACGGATGTTCGGGGACAGCCAGGTCTCAGAGAAAGCCATCAAATCAGGGTGATTATCCATGGCAAGAAGTTGAATCTCGTCCAATTTGTTCCGCAAACTGCGCACATTAGCGGACAACACACTCAAACCGGTCTTCGACCTTACTGTCCGGGTAGGACAAGGATGGGTCTCCAGCGAGTTCTCGGAGTTTTCGGAACCACTCGAAAATCCACAATGTGAAGGTCCGTCTCACCATTTGCCCGGCGGGTTCGAAGTTCACCAACCGCACTCTTCATTTTTATCCGATCTTCAGGGGACAGATCTCTCAGAACATAAAACGATTCTCCTTTGAGACGTGAAGTGCGTCGGAGGATGCGCCTGCATTCATCCTCGTTTTGGCATACGATCTTGAGAGGACGAGACTTTGTAGAGTCCTCCTGCTTCCTGCCAATGCGAAAGGCAGAAACAACATTTATCCCCGGTTCACCTTCATCAAACAACAGTGAAATCATCCTTATTAAAAACGCTTCATCATCTAGGATCCTTTCAGCTGGCGTAGATTTAGAAGACTCCGGCGCATTTACCACTATAAGGCAGCGGTCACGAGAGGGACGATGGGAGTCCCTAGATGTCTGTTGCTTAGGAGAAATCGATGTGTCCTTAACCAAGTTCTCCAACTGAGTAAGTCTATCAAGAACTTTTTAATCTCCAATTGAGAAGAGGGCTTGGCTTTGATACTAGATTTTGCTTTTGGCTTCGCTTCTCGCATAGCTGAGTTGTGACTGCCTGACGGCGCTGCGAGTCCTCTCACCACAGATGCATAGGTCCTGACCGCAGGCTCGGCATGCCGAGCAGAAAGATGTACTGAGGGAGACGTGGCACGACTTTGCTTACCGATAGGAGTTACGAATCCAGAACAGGGGGAAGAAGGACCCACAGGTAAAACTAAGTCCGGGGAAGCAATCAACGCAGTGTGAGGAAGAGAGGGACGTGGACTAAGCGCTGGTAAACCGGCAAGTACACGTCTGTCACTGGTTGTTACTCTGCATGAGTCACAAAAGAAAGCGATAGCTTGAGACGGTGTCCGTTGTAGATGTCCATATAGGCCCGGACTGATACCACAGCAAGCAGCATGAATCCAACCATCACACAAAGAGCACTGTACGGCCTTCGATCGGTGAGTGACACTTTTACTACAGGAGACACATCTGGAAGCCATTGGGAAATGATAAAGGACGTAAACCAGAGGTAGCACGAAAAATACTTGTCAACCGAGAGCTCTGCAGTACAGGACGACGCTATTCGCAGATTTCACGATCGAGCGTTTTAGCTGAAATAACGTGGAAAACAGTGTTTGAATAAACACTTGAAACGAGATTTGACTATTGTCAAATTTTCCCTGATCCGAGATATCTTGGATCGATTAAAGTGGAACATTTAAGATCATGAAGGGCTTCAGTGCCATCGTGCCCTCTGATTTATTTGAGCTGGCTGATTCTGAACGCCTGCGTGGACATCGCTTGAAGCTCAAACAACAGAGAGCTAGACTGAACGTCAGGGCTAAGTTCTTCTCAAATCGTGTAGTGCGCGACTGGAATAAGTTGCCTTCGGAACTAATGGATTGTGTGACTGTGGTTGCCTTCAAAGCATGCCTAGACAGGTGCTGGCCGCGTATTTTTCCGGAATTAATATAATCCTATCCAATTTATTCGCATTGTATCCGATGTTGATCCTTGTAAAAGCAAAGATTTGCTCTCGCTTTTGCTTCATTTCTTTTTGCAGAGTAGTTGTGCCCCATGCTGAGGCTGATGTTGCATTCTTGATGCTTCTTCACCGCAGTTGGGCTAAACCAACTTACACTTAAACTAGGTCTTTTTAAGCTGGATAAATTTCATTCCGCTTTATTTGGTTTGTTCTGCCTCCCTGAATAATGTGCTATTAACTGGCCACGTTGCTTACACTAATTGCGCTTATCTTCGGTAATTTTGTTGCGTTTGTAGCATTTTAAGTAACTTGTGGACATTTCTTACTTATCACTGATTTGTTGCTGACCAAATTACTTCATATGGTAATTTAGCGAAGAGTTATGCCACCGTATCTGTATGCATTATTTGATTTATTTTATTTCAGCTTGTCGTTTAAAGTGCATGGCTGTTGTTTGATATCCCTGGTATGGTTGCGCTTGATGTGTATGTTGACAAGGTGCCTACCTGTCTATTACCCACTACATCGTTCATACTGGCTCCAGGAGACAGTTGGTCGTTGCTGGAGGGGACGGGGTGCACGGTCCTTGTGGCCGTGTTAGGCTCAAAGAGCGGTTCCATGCACTCAGTGTGGAGCGGACTACGGTCCAGCCACCGCCTTGTGTGCGCTTGATTCCCCAAATACAGCGTGCTTGTGTTTGCCTGTGAAGGAGTGTGGGCCGGCTCCGTTGATGAAACGTGGTTCCCATCCACATGCCTCCCGGTCTTATTCCTTCGGGTTTACACTGGATATGGGGTATGTGGTTGGAGCTGTGGGTGGTGCAGCGCAAGCCATCCATGGTCCCTCTGTAGGCGCAGGCGTCCTGTGGCTTGCCACAGTGACAGGCAAATCCGAAACCGGATGCCGCCAACCATGTTTATAGTAGGCGTGAGAGCCTATGGTGCGCTGAGGCTGGTGGTGGCTAGATCCTGACAGATGGTCTACCCACTGCTGCTACTGTTGTGCCATTTGCTCATGTCCTGGGCGCCTCCTCGTGGCGACCGCTGGGTGGGAGTTGGGTTTCGCCCTTCTCCCTGCTAAGATTCAGGACACCAATCCGCATGAGTCAGCTAACTGACCATGTGCTAGACCCGCTGCCTTTCTGGTGTTCATTTAATCGAAGGCTTTGGCTGAGGACCCGAGTCGTTCTCCTGTCAGGATTGGGCGCCCTGGCAGTATCCTAGTCCAGAGAGAGTGCCTCCCTCTTGGGGCGAATCAGTTATTGTCCCAATTTTCAAGAAAGGCGCTCGCACTTCATGTGCAAATCATCGCGGGATTAGTCTTATTTCGGTTGCCTCTAAGCTGTTGGCATCCATTCTACTTCGTAGACTATCCCCAGTACGTGAATCGTACTACCGTGAAGAACAAGCTGGTTTCCGTCCTGGCCGCGGATGCGTGGATCAAATCTTCACGCTCCGCCAACTCCTTGAACATCGCCACATTTATCACAGGCCCACTATCGTTGCATTCCTAGACATACGTGCCGCTTTTGACTCCGTTGATCGACCTGCTTTATGGCGTTGCTTACTAAAGAACGGGGTGCCAGAGAAATATATCGCCATCTTACGAGCACTTTACCTTCACACATCCGGCAGAGTGAGGGTCTATGGCAAGCTTTCCTCGCAATTCACTGTCAATAGCGGTGTGCGACAGGGCTGCCTCATGTCCCCATTCCTCTTCAACTTCGCAATCGAAGACGTTCTGTCGAATGCCCTAGAAGGTTTCCAACATTTTGGCCTAGAGCTTCTACCGGGTGAGCGTGCGACCGACTTAGATTATGCTGATGATATCGCCTTACTTGGTGACGATCCTCAGGGTATGCAACTCATTCTGGATCGTTTGGCGGTTGAAGCATCTAAGTATGGCATGAGCTTCGCCCCATCGAAGTGTAAAGTACTGCTCAAGGATTGGCTTTCACCTGCACCCGTGCTCACTCTCCAAGGTGCACAACTTGAACAGGTGGATAGTTTCGTCTACCTTGGGAGCTGTGTTTCCGCTGACGGCACGATCAACAAAGAAGTTTCGCTTCGTATCGCTAAAGCTCGATCAGCATTTGTCAATCTGAGGCACTTGTGGCGTCGTCGCGACGTCTCATTCTCACTAAAGGGCCGAGTTTACAGCGCGTCCGTTCGCTCAGTATTGTTGTACGGGAGCGAGTCCTGGCCGATTCGCGTGGAAGACATGCGTCGTCTTTCTGCGTTCGATAACGGTTGCTTAAGGAGGATCGCTCGTGTTCGGTGGCAACATCGAGTTACCAGTAATGACGTTCGACGTCGCGTCTTGGGGAATGCAAGTATTTCCTTCAACAAACTGGTTTTGTTGCGCCAGTTAAGATGGCTCGGTCATGTCCTACGCATGGCACCTGAGCGTCTACCGCGTCGCGCTCTATTCGCTCGTCAAGGACCTGGCTGGAAGCGACCGCGTGGTGGTCAGCCTTCCACTTGGCGGCAGCACATGAAATCGCTGACGTCGTGTCTAGCCGCTGTTGGACCCGTACGTCTTCCAGGATGGGGACCCAAAGATGGCGAGTGCCAATGGCTTAGGACACTTGAAGACATGGCCCGCAACCGGAATCAATGGAAGAATTGTGTACAGTGTTGTGTTGATTCACATGTTTAATTCTACAAAAATTGAAAATGACAAAAAAGAGAAAAACCGGCGTGTGACAAACAAACTAAAAATGTTTTGTTCTGTATTTTTGTCAAAATATTCCATTTTCTTGCGGCATATTAGCTGAAGTGTGTTTCCCACCTTCAGCTAGCATGCCATGACGATTATGACGCAATGACTGTCTCTTATACACTGATTTCCATGGTTTTCTTGGCTCTATGTCTAGTTACTAGACTGTTGAGATTACATACATACATACATCTTCGGGGGTTAGGAAGTGGTCGATGGCCCACTTCCCGTAAAACCTAGCCATGGGAGACAACAGGTTTACGGGTTATAAGCTCACAGCTCGATTGACGTAGAGCACGAGCGAAACGCAATGTCTCTGACGGTGGGAGGACGCCTCCGGGTGTTCATTGATTTGCTACTGCCCGCCTCAAGCGAGGCAGCCCCTGGTCAAATTTGTGCAAACCCGCCAAAAACCCACCTGCGTCTGGCCGTGGTCGCAGGTGCGTATCCAATTACGGTCGCAAAACATATGATAATTGTTCCAGAACCTCAAAGGCTGCGTGTGACGGCCGTCATGCAGATTCCCATCTGTCTCTGCAATCACATTTCCGAGCTGGATCTGTTCTCCACTGCCTTGTGGGTCTGGCTATTGAGCCAAAGGCTCCGGGCGGAGTCCCTTAAGCAAACCTCCGAATCACCCACTGCCTTGTGGGTCAGGCTATTGAGCCAAAGGCTCCGGGTGGAGTCCCTCAAGCAAACCTCCGAAGCACAACGACCACCTCGCGTGCGATTGCCCACCAATGCAATCGTATGCCTGCGCGCAAAGCACTCAGCATCGGGTGTTGGAACGTGCGCACACTACTGGACCGGAACTCCAGCGAGCGCCCGGAGCGACGCACTGCACTGGTCGCGCTGGAGCTGCCGCGCAACCACATCGATATTGCGGCGCTCAGTGAAACTCGGCTCGCTGAGCAAGGTAAGTTACATGAAGCAGGTGCTGGATACACATTCTACTGGGTGGGCAACGCCGCCTCAGCACCACGTGAACATGGGGTCGGATTTGCAATATCCGATCGCCTGAATGGCCAGCTGGTGGGTGAACCAACGGGCATCAGCGCGCGACTGATGACTGTTCGCCTACGACTCGGAAGAGGTAAGTTTGCTACTTTTATAAGCACGTACGGTCCGACTATGTGTTATCCTGATGACACGCGTGATCAGTTCTACACTGAGCTATCCTCCGTGATACGGTCTGTGCCGAGGAGCGACCGACTATTTCTGCTGGGTGACTTCAACGCGCGCGTTGGGCGTGATGCATCAGCGTGGACAGATGTTATCGGTGCGCATGGCATTCGTTCAGCGAATGCGAACGGTGACAGGCTGCTCTCACTGTGTGCCACTCACGGCCTGACGCTCACGAACACTCGGTTTGCACTGAGTGCGAGTGATGTAGCAACTTGGACGCACCCACTTAGTGGTCACGCCCACCTGCTCGACTATGTCATCGTACGTCAGCGTGATATGCGTGAAGTGCGCATGACACGTGTACTGCGTGGAGCTGAGTGTGGCACTGATCACAAATCGGTTCGGACCAAACTGTACATATATTTTCGTAAATCGATGTATTGCACTCCCGCCGTGATTTGGCGTAAATTTAACATTCTCTGCCTCGGTACTGTGGCGAAACGTACTGAGCTGGAGAAGGCGATGCCTGCACGCCTGTGTGGTGATGTGGACTGCATAGCCACAGTGGGCGATCTGTGGCACCACATTCGCGACCAGGTGACAGCTGCTGCCGAGGAGACCATCGGGCGCGCAAACTGTAAACGGCCTGATTGGTTTGATGACAACAATGTGACGATTGGCGCATTGGTGTCAGAGAAGAATGCAGTATTTGCTGCACATTTGGCAGACCCCAGTGACTTGGGGCAGAGTAGTCAGTTTCGCAAACTTCGACGGCGACTGACCCGAGAGCTCCGTCGCATTAAAAATGCATGGTGGACGGAGAAGGCGAAGCAGATGGAATGCTACGCCGAACGCCGCCAACATAAGGAATTCTTTGACTCCTTGAAGGCGGTGTATGGACCGAGATTGGAGCCGCTGAGGACACTGATCGATGGTAGTTCAGGCGCTACCTGCACCCAGACTGCAGACATAATGCAGGTCTGGCGGAAACACTTTGACTATCTCTTGAACAACCGTTCAGAGATCGACTGGCCTACATTGAATGACCTGAAGCAGCACGATGTGAAGGCGGATCTGGCGGATACGCCGAGACTGGATGAGACGCAGAGAGCACTTGCTCAGCTGCGAAACGGCAAATGTGCCGGGGGTGACGGGATCCCACCTGAAGTATTGAAACACGGTGGACCCGCGTTGTTGACTGCGCTGCACCACTTGGTGCAACGTGTATGGATTGAGGAGGAGGTGCCTCCTGAGCTGAAGGATGTCCTTGTGCTGCCACTGTACAAGGGCAAAGGTAGCAAGCAATGTTGCACGAATTATCGTGGCATCAACTTGCTGATTTGTGTGGGCAAGGTGATTGCCCGAATCCTGCTTAACCGCCTCGTTGGTCAGCTTGTGGAACCTAACGTGGCGGAAGAGCAGTGTGGATTCCGTTCGGGTCGCAGCACTATAGATATGGTGTTTGCGGCTCGTCAGTTGCAAGAGAAGTGCAGAGAACGACACCAGCCATTGTACTCGCTTTTTGTTGATTTCACCAAAGCATTTGATACGGTGAACCGCGAGGCACTGTGGCTGGTGTTGGGTAAGTTTGGTTGCCCGCGTAAGTTCGTAAGTTTAATTGAATGTCTGCACAGTGGTATGCGAGCGAGGGTGCAGCTGAGTGGAGAGACCTCTGATGACTTTGCAGTTGTCTCTGGTGTGAAGCAAGGCTGTGTCTTAGCTCCTGCCCTGTTTAATATATATCTTCATGCAATGTTGTCCTGTGCTTTTGATGCGGCTTGTGCTTACGGTGTTCGTGTGGAGCACCGTATTGATAGCGGGTTGCTGAACATCCGTCGTTTCGGTGCGAGAACTCTAGTCTGGGAGACAACTATCCGTATGTTGCTGTTTGCTGACGACTGTGCGTTGTTTTCACACAGCGCGGATGAGTTGCAGCACATGACTAGTGCTCTGGCTTCGACAGCGGCCAAATTCGGGCTCACCATCAACACAAGCAAAACTGTCTGTCTGTTTCAGCCTTCACCGGTGGTGCAATCTTCAATATTGCCGCAAATCAGCATTGGTGCTGAAGTATTGGAAACCACCTCCCGCTTTTGCTACCTTGGGAGTGTGATGTCGACTGATCAGCAGCTACACGTTGAGTTGCGTAATCGCGTGTCAAAGGCGGCAGAGGCATTCGGGAAGCTTGAGTACCGAATGTGGAACAACCATCAGCTTACCATTCGCACGAAGCTGATGGTGTACAAATCCATGGTACTGTCCGTTCTTCTATACGGCAGTGAAACGTGGACGATGTACCGTCGGGATGTGCGATATCTCGAGCGGTTCCATCAGCAGTGTCTGCGACGAATTTTGCGGATCGGTTGGGGCGACAGAGTTGCAGACACGGAAGTTTTGCGCCGAAGTGGGATGTATGCAGTGGACGGCATACTTTTACTGCGACACCTGAGATGGCTCGGTCATGTGAGCCGTATGGATTCGACGCGGATACCGAAACAACGGTCAGCTGAGTATAGGGAAGCGGCATGCTGGGAAACCAAAGTTACGTTACCAGGACATGATTAAAGTGAGCCTCACACGTTCTAATCTTGATTGCAGATCATGGGAATCGAAGGCGGTTGATCGTGGTGCATGGCGCGATCTAATCACGAAGGCAGTTGCCGAAGTGCGGGATAAAGCTCTCATGCATGCAGAGAAGAAGCGACAAGTGCGGAAGCGGCAAGCACCGATGAATTGTACTCCATCGACATCGAGTGCATGGTGCTGTAGAACATGCGGTCGCGAGTGCCTTAGTCAGGCAGGCCTAGTGAGCCATGAGAGAGGTCACTCGGGACCACTGCCGAAGCGACGACGGGTCCCGCAGTGAACGTAGGCAGCACCGGCGCAGCGTTTGTAGGCACGCTGAATTCGATTTACTAACCGCGTGCTTGCATGCTAAGTCTCTTTATTTCAGGTGGTGGGTTTACAGTTTTTACCTTAATGCTTCTCTTTCTCATATAAATATCTCCCTGTACTCTATTTCATTAACTTGCACACATCGCTTCAGCCAATTGTATTCGATTTCCATAACATTTTTGTGTTCGTGGCATTCCGTGAACTATACTTCCTGACCTCGTGCACTTAGCTAGGATTTGTTGGTAAACAACTTATTACATATGATATTTAATTAAGGTTTATATCACCGTTTCCCTATGCATTAATCGCGTTTTTCTCATTTTCTTTCTCTCTCAAGTGTTTGGCTGTTGTTTGATATCCCTGGTGTGGATGCGCTTGATATGCATGTTGACAAGGTGCCTACCTGTCTATTACCCACTACATCGTTCATACTGGCTCCAGGAGACAGTTGGTCGTTGCTGGAGGGGACGGGGTGCACGGTCCTTGTGGCCGTGTTAGGCTCGAAGAGTGGTTCCATGCAGTCATTGTGGAGCGGACTACGGTCCAGCCACCGCCTTGTGTGCGCTTGATTCCCAAATACAGTGTGCTTGTGTTTGCCTGTGAAGGAGTGTGGGCCGGCTCCGTTGATGAAACGTGGCTCCCATCCACATGCCTCCCGGTCATATTCCTTCGGGTTTACACTGGATATGGTGTGTGTGGTTGAAGATGTGGGTGGTGAAGCGCAAGCCATTCATGGTCCCTCTGTAGGCGCAGGCGTCCTGTGGCTTGCGACAATGACAGGCAAATCCGAAACCGGATGCCGCCAACCATGATTGCTTGTATGTTATGTCTTTGGTATGAAGCCAGTATTATTGATGGTTCCACTGTAATCTCCCTTTTCCAGTTGCAGATCCCACCATATGAAGCGGAGACCGGAAACCGTACGCGGGGGGTGTCTGCTGATGACTCTCCGGATGAGAACACAAGCCATGCTGCCCTCGGAAGGCCCGGTGCAGAACTTCTTGTCTTCGGATCTTTGCTTCATTCAATCTTCCTTTGGTTGACCTAGATCGCGCTGTGTCCAATGGTGATGGAGAAAGCTTCCGGAACACCGTCGACCCACGCTAGGAGACCCCTGGCATTACAGCCCGAAAGATGGCTTTGGCCCATTGGGCCTTAAAGACCGTTGGTCTTATTGCCTTTGATAAGTGAAGCTTCATCCGAAGCCCGAATACTCCAAATGACGTCCTATGGACGTATTCCCGAAAGATGATCACGAGCCATGAGCTCTTGCAAGTGTTATGAACCGTAACGATCCCTAAAGATCCCTATCTGGAAATTCCCTAGGATATGGGCAAGCCAGTGGCTGCGTGGAAGTGCAGGTGAATTTGGAATAGCCTGCATGGAAGCGGGTCCCTGGGCCACGGTTGCGTGAACGGCCGTATTATTTCTTGCCCCTCTTTCTCAATGTTTATTGTTATGGTTAGTATCTGCTGTACCGAGGCTTTTCCAAAAATATACTTTTACAATAGCCAAATGCCTCGTCATCTAATTGGTGACGCGCATGAATAGATTAACGTGATTCCCCCTGTCCCTATCTACTATCTAGCGAAAACACAGCCAAGGGAACGGGCTTCGCAGAATTAGCGGGGAAAGAAGACCCTGTTGAGCTTGACTCTAGTCCGACTTTGTGAGGAGACATGACGGGTGTAGAATAAGTGGGAGCGAGGTCTTTCGGAGCTGAGCGTCAATGAAATACCACCACCGTCATTGTTTCTTTGCTTATTCAGTAAAACGGGGAATGAATTTTGGTGCTAAGCACATGCTGACGTCCGTGACTTACGTTGCGGGGGTTGGTGTCTTGGTCATGTCAGATGAGCTATGGCAATCGCCTTGGTGTTTGAGTCTGATGGTGATGTGCGACCCGTTCTGAAGACAATGTCAGGCGGGGAGTTTGACTGGGGCGGTACATCTGTCAAATGGTAACGCAGGTGTCCCAAGGTGAGCTCAGCCAGGACGGAAACCTGGCGTGGAGTAAAAGGGCAAGCGCTTACTTGATTTTGATTTTCAGTACGAATACAGACCGTGAAAGCGTGGCCTATCGATCCTTTTGAATTTGATATTCGGAGTTTGAAGCAAGAGGTGTCAGAAAAGTTACCACAGGGATAACTGACTTGTGGCGGCCAACTGATTATAGCGACGTCGCTTTTTGATCCTTCGATGTCGGCTCTCCCTAGCGTTATGACGCAGAATTCACCAATCCAGCACGGGTAAACGGCGGGGACGGACGTGTGTTGTGTGCGCTCCGGTGCAAACCTAGTTTTCTCGGTGCCAACTCATCGGATCGTAGAGATTTTATATCAATCAACTGCATTTGATGAGTTCTATACAACGGATATAAAATTTTTGAAGAATTGCTGCAAGAAAGTGGAGATATGAAAAGTGGTCAATTTTGGAACATGGGAAAAACGAATTTCTTCGAGTAAGGGAGAAAAGCGGTGAGTTCGGTCCATTTTTTGGTCTTTTTTAATCAGTGTTTTTGGTCTTTTATTTAAGCTTTACTTTTTCTACTTTTACCTTGGCTACCTATACTATTTTTACGATTTATTAATTTTTTACGGGCTTCTTATGGGCCTAGGTAGATGTGGCTATTTCGCTTGTAATTTAACTAACCCCTCTTAGTTTGGACTCATTTTACTCCTTTTTTGCTGAGATTACAAATATCTTTACATTTTTACTCAAAACATAAGTTTAGAAAAGTTACAGTATACTCGGTATTTGTCTGGTTCGGCCCGCGCATTCTCTCCCATGGTCACGTGACCTTGACCCACCCCCCTAGCAACTAAGGCTTTGACCCCTATTTTCGTTTAGGAGGCATATAACTATGTCGAGTTTACATTCATTCGATTCAGCATCGCTTCTAGTTTCACATTCCACTACTTTTATATATTTTGTATAAAGTGTACAATAGTTATTACTACTTTTTGCATTTCCCACTACATGCCCATTTTCGCTCACATGACCCCACCCGGCTCGCCGGTTAGCGCCGGCGCAGTCATTATCCCCCCCTTCCGGAGCATCTGGCTTCCAATGTTAACAAATATCGCTCGATCGGCTTGCGGTTAGCTTTCACAACTGGGTCAAGTGTGCCAGGTGGTGCTATCATCTGCGCTATCGTCTAGAACTGAATCGTAAGACGACCCCTAGTGCTCCCTGTACCACGTGTGGACCCGGTCAGCGGTTGGGTTAACACACGGATGTCCACAGACTACTATCTTTGACTCGTAGTAGGTTGTGATAATTGTCGGATAGCGAGATCTAACACGATTGTCACATGGCTCCACATTCGCCTCGCATTCCCCGCGCTATTTGACCCCCCTCGCTTCACCTTAAGAGCACACTAGGATATAGGCAACCCTGTCCAATGTTGTACTGGGTTTCTAACTGATACTTTTATTATTACTACCACGTTAGCCAACCCGAAATATATTATTATTAGGTATTGCGAACCCCCCGCTTTTGTAGTACCCTCTTTTGTTCCCCCTTTTTGTAATACCAAATTTCTATTCTTATTTATTATTACTAGTATCACTATTCTTACTATTATTATGATTATCACCGAGATTAACCCTACTTATTAGCACCCCCGTTAAGACCCCCGGAAGTTGCCCTGAACCTGCACACACCTGTATCTTGATAGTAGTTTACATAACTTAGTATTACCATCAGTGTATCGTTACTATTATTACTAGTACGCTGTGTACTCCCTTGTTAGTACAATAACTAGAATTATTGTACCAGTATTAATCATTCTATACCAATCCTTACTTACATCCCCCTTTTTGCTATATTAGCTATCGACCCAATTCACCCCTCTTATTTTAGTACGTTAGGTGCACCATTACTATGCTTATTACTATTATTGTACTGCATTGTATTATATTGTTTTATCGCTGTTTTTACTATTACTACTATTGCACCTCTTGCTCCCCATTTATTTAATACGATGCATATTACTACTACTACTGTACTATTACACCCTTTACAACTGTCTGTTAACTACCTCTTCTCACTCCGCCATCTCCGGAGATCTTCGGTACTCACCTCGTTCGTGGTAATTACTCTTATTACTATTGTTTTTACAGTCCGCTATGCACCACTCCTGTTAGTAGCATAGCAACTATTATTGTATTCTTATCCCTATCTCCACCCCTACTCTCACTCACACCCCCTTCCTGCTATATAAAGGGTTGTCCTAACCCCCCATTTTTCTTGTAGTACTTTAGTGACATTATTGATCTTATTACTATTACTATTATTATATTCCTTGCCCCCTTTTTTGTTACTACTAGGCTTAATATTACTATATTGATATTTCCCTCATAGCTACTTATTGTCCCACCCCGCTATCTCCGGAGATCTTCGGCACCCTCTCGTTCGTGGTAGTTACTATTATTATTCATACTAATACGCTACGCACCCCTCTTGTGACTACCATAGTAACTATTACGGTACTATTATCATTATCTCTCCAACTACAATTATTCATAACCCCCTTCCTGCTATATAATACGTTACCACAACCCTGTAGTAATTTAGCGACATTATGGCTCTTTTTATTATTACTAGTACAAATATTAGACCCCGTGCCCCCTTTATTATTACTACTAGGGTCATTACTATTATATTATTACCCCTTTTACGATTAATTGTTCCCCCACTCCGTTATTTCCGGAGCGCTCCCGTGACCCCTCCTTCGTAGTAATTACTATTATTACTATTCGTACTACAGTACGCTATGCACCCCCTTGATACTACCATAGCAACTATTACCATATTCTTACTCTTATCCCTACACCTACTCATACTTACACCCCCTTCCTGCTATATGAGGTGTTGCCTAACCCCCCTTTTTTGTTTTTTGTCTTCATTTATTGTACTACTTCAGCGACATTGTTGCTCTTATTATTATTACTATTACTAATATTACACTCTTTGACCCCTCCTTTGTTACTACTAGGCTTATTATTACTATGTTACTATTCCTTTCACAAATACTTGTTCTCCCACCCCGCTATCTCCGGAGATCTTCAGTACCCTCCTCGTTCGGGGTGATTACTATTATACTTATTATTACAGTACTCTATGCACCCCTCTTGATACTACCATAGCAACTACCACGGTATTATTATCCTTATCCCTACCCCTACTCTTACTTACGCCCCCCTTCCGGCTATATGAGGTGTTGCCCTAACCCCCTCTTCCGTAATACTTTTGCGACATTATTGCTCTTATTATTACTACTATTACTGTTATTATACTCCTTGCCCCCTCTTTTGTTACTACCAGACTTAGTATTACGGGATCATTATTCCCTTCGTAACTACTTGTTCTCCCACCTCGCTATCTCCGGAGCGCTTCGGCACCCCTCATTCGTAGTAATCACGATTGCTACTATTATTACAGTATGCTATGCACCCTCTTGTTACTACCATAGCAACTATTACTAGTAATCGGTGCACCCCTTCGTTGCTACCTGGTTAAGAATTGTTTTATTTGTAGGGCTTTTCTACAGTCACTCTTAACCCTAACCCGCCTTTACGCTACAATGGTATGGCCCCGACCCCCTTTATTGGCACTACTACCATGGATACTATAGTTACTATTATACCCCCTGCACCCACCCTGATTGTCACTATGTTTATTGTCACTATTACTCATTACGCTTATTATAATTTCTAATCTTACACCTACTTTTTACCTACCCGCTCCAAATATCCTAGGCAACTTCCCGATCCGTCCACCTCTCCCTCTTAACAGTCACAGCCACCTTAGTATTCTATTAGGTATATCATTATTGCTACTACTATTACCTCGCTATTTCTGCTTACTATTATGGCAACTACTATTATTAGTATTATTATCATGACGCTAACCACCTGTCCCCCAGGGCCCTTCTCCCCGTTCCATTGTGGATTAGGCCCCCGCCGCGCCGCAGCATTATCGTCTACATAAGTACAATTAGTATTATTATTTTAACTAAATTTATATCAAAACCCCCTTACTCCTGCTCACCGCTTTGCGCTAGGTCACTGAGACCCATCGGACACTTTCTGCTAGATACGTTTAGGTCACCCCCAGTTACCTAGGCCCGTACGAAGCCCATGACCCCACCTTTTGTTCTTTTTCGCTACTTCCACCCACGCTCTTTGCTCTCTTCCGCCTTCTTATACATCTACCTCCCTCTCCTTCTTCTCCCCCAAATCTTGGACCGAGCATACCCGCCAGACTCCCCCCGAGGACGCCCATGACCAACGACCAGGATTCCACATCATCACCCCCTGCTTCACCACGTCATCCTGATTCCGACCCCGCTCCCTTCGTCTGTGCTACCTGTCACGCCGGATTCACGACAGCCGCCGGCTTGACCCGCCATTCCAACTACCACAAACGACATCCACACGATCATCGGCTACGTGACGAACCTGAGATATATTGTTCACGCTGCGATGGACAATTCTCCTCTGCTAGAGCCCTTACAACGCATCGCCGTCGAACGCACCCCGACGACTATTCTGCTTTACAATCGGCACGTGCTTCAACAGCGTCACTTCAATGGTCGATCGAGGAGGACCGCCAATTACTACAGTACGCCACCTCTTTAAGTCGTACTGCACCTTCACTTATTCAATTGCTCCCGAGACTGCAAACTCAATTCCCACTACGAACAACCGCCGCGATCAAGAAAAGACTTCAGCATCTCAAATGGCAATGGCCATATAATTCCAAACGTCGTCGTTTCCCAAGTACATCAGCGCCCAGCGACTCGATCCCAGCCTCTACTTCTTCGACTATTAATAAACTTGTCAGTTGTCACACAACCAAACAAAGTACGCTATCCCAAGCGCAATCCACCGCATCGACCCCAAACTCCGATGAGTCTGACGCTACTTCCTTCGCACTCCTCGAATGTCCACGAGTTACATCCTACGTTCAGTTGGCGCATATCACCAACCCCGAGATCCCGTCATGTGCCTTGGACTCCGACATTTCTTACCAATGCTCTAACCAATACCACGTATCCTCTTCCTACAACTCCAACACAATCGGATTCCTCTCCATCATTATCCACCCCCTCCAAACTCTATGAATCACCTTTCCACTACCCTCCCCCAAACCCACGTCGATACCCCCTTTTATCCGCCGATCCCACCCGAGACTAGATCGCCCGATGAGAACAATTATCTAACTGACGAACAATCAGCCGTTGCATCCGATGCCGCCGAAGACCAACATGACACACAACACTCCAACCCCTCCGGACCCCAGCCGCGAATAGGGGCCTATGAACGGCCCGCAGCACAGGCAACCACCTGTCACCCTACATCCCCTACCCTGGCCACTCAGGATAGTGGGTTAGCTGGCTCTGTTTACCCAACCGCCTCTAACGGACTGGCCTCTGCCAAGTCTCCAACCAGCCAGCGGAACCACAGCGATGTACCACCATTACATATGCATGCACCAACCACACCTAGACAGCTTACCTCTCCACTGACGGCTGACATTTCGACCCCGTTGTATTCGTCCCGGCATCCTTCGTATGCCGACTCTAACAGGAATATCAGTCCGTCCGAGCTCACAATCCAGGCCCCATCAGCACCGCGGGGGAACCTGCCTTTTCACACTCCGCCTGTGAGCAATACTGCCATGCCACCAGGCCCTCTGAATCATTTATCTTCCCCGCCTGTAGACCTCAGAACCTTTTGCTGCACCATGTGTCCACGAGTATTTCGGACTTCTAGTGGATTACACCGGCACCGAACAGCGCATCTTCGGAACCCGACGGGCTTCCTAGCTTCCACGGCGGTAGCAAATATGTCCAATTTTAAATGCCAAACTTGTCGGCGGATCTTATTGACGAAAAACGGACTATCGCAACATCGCCGGCATCGGCATCCTGTCAGCTATAATGCCGATTGCCTCGCCCGCCTCCCCGAACACGGGTACCGTTGGAATCCCAGGGAAGACCGCGTGCTTCTCTTCCATGCCTCCCGCCTAGTGCAGAGTTCCACCTCACGCGACGCCCTAATGGCACGCTTAAGTCGAATCTTTACCTATCGTACAACTCAGAGTGTCCGCAAACGACTGCAGTACCTGGGATGGAACTATGCGGATCACCGCACGAGTTCAAGACCCTCAACCTCCACATCCCTTCTTCCACGAACCATCCTAACACCGGCTTCCGAACGCTACACCCCGCGACTCACCCCGTCCCCCACTCTATCTCCATCTTGCGGGGGATCTCCAACAACGACCTTGACGACCCAAACAACCGTCTCTTCACCCACTCCGTCGGATATAGCGGTCGACCTCGACCACTCTCCTATCCAAACACAGCCGTCCAGAGATTCGAGTAACCGAATTGACAGCACCCACCACATTTCGACACAAACTGCATTCGCAATGACGCCTAAGACCTTGCCAACACGACTAGAGACAGGCCGACTGCCACCCCTCATAAACCCCGCCTCTACCGCGAAGCTGCCCGCGTCTCTCTCACCGAACGAATCTCCGGAAGTGTCATCCTCGGCACCTCTAACTCCGGCGCCCGCTATGTCCCAAGGTTCCACTGACATCTTTCGGAATCTTCTTTCCGCCGCCAAGGAGTTTGCCACCAAATGTCCTTCACCTGAGAAATCGGAACACGCCTCCCTCCGAGAATTGGTGGCCGCGCATTCTACTGACGACACGCCACAACGCTACAGCGAGGCATTGAACGAACTGCTTGCTCGGATCTTTCCACATCGCTGGAGGCCTACGAAGCGACGCGCGCGTCCCTTCACTATACGGAATAACCAACACCGGCGAAGGCTGCAATATGGTCACATTCAACAACTGTACCACACACGCCGTAAAGATGCAGCCGCTACTATCATCGAGGGTCGGTGGCGCGACGCTTTTCTAGGAGAGGAAGAAAAAATTCCAAATTTCACCGAATTCTGGTAAGACGTTTTAGCCCGACCCCCAGCCGCCGACAATCGGGCACTTCGCCTTGTGACTCCAATCAGCACAGACCTCATGAAACCCATCACTTGTGAGGAAATGCGTCGGGTGCTAACCCAAAATGCAGGGATCCGCCCCTGGGGTAGATTGCATTACGTCCGCGGACGTCGCCCGAATGAGTCCTGTCTGGTGTCGTTCGCCGGCGGGTGCTGCGCAGGTGTTTACTTCTTAGAGGGACAAGCGGCGAGACAGTCGCACGAAAATGAGCAATAACAGGTCTGTGATGCCCTTAGATGTCCGGGGCCGCACGTGCGCTACAATGACGGTTTCAGCGAGTTTGGAAACCTGGCCTGAGAGGGTTGGGCAAACTGAATCATCACCGTCGTGACTGGGATCGGGGCTTGCAATTATTCCCCGTGAACGAGGAATTCCTGGTAAGTGCAAGTCATAAGCTTGCGCTGATTACGTCCCTGCCCTTTGTACACACCGCCCGTCGCTACTACCGATTGAATGGTTTAGCAAGGTCCTCGGATTGGTGCCATTGTAGTTGCTTCGGCGACTCGACCGGTGCTGAGAAGACGACCAAACTTGATCATTTAGAGGAAGTAAAAGTCGTAACAAGGTTTCCGTAGGTGAACCTGCGGAAGGATCATTACAGCATTCACAACTCCAAATGATCAGCTGGTGGCTGACATTATTACCAGTACGAGTCCACTTACTCGTCATTATTTTGCTATGCCTGCGGACTTGTCCGCTACGCACAGCGCACGTTGACCAGGGTGCCTACCTGTCTGATACCCGCGACATGCATGCGGCCTATGGCTGCCTGCCCCTGTTGTGGGGACGGGGTGTACTGTAAACATAACGGTACTAGGCTCAATGAGTGGTGAATATCAAGGGCTACGGCCCGGCCACCGCCCTGCTGTTGTTTCCCTCTGGGATGTACAGTATGCTGAACAGTGGTTCATGCAGCATTCACGAATCCAAATGATCAGCTGGTGGCTGACATTATTACCAGTACGAGTCACTGACTCTTTTCGGCTGTGCCTGTGGACTTGTCCGCTACGCACAGCGCACGTTGACCAGGGTGCCTACCTGTCTGATACCCGCGACATGCATGCGGCCTATGGCTGCCTGCCCCTGTTGTGGGGACGGGGTGTACTGTAAACATAACGGTACTAGGCTCAATGAGTGGTGAATATCAAGAGCTACGGCTCGGCCACCGCCCTATGTTTATCCTATTTCACAGTATGAGTGACGCATGTTAGATTCGTTCTGCATGTGTCAATGCTCATTAATGCTCCCGGCCTACACTGGGTTGCATTTACAGTCGCCTGGCGTTGCCTTGACCCAGGTTTGACTGTGAAAATGACTTATCACCTGTGAGAACGGGTGACTAAGCCATGTACAACTCTGAGCGGTGGATCACTCGGCTCGTGTGTCGATGAAGAGCGCAGCCAACTGTGTGAATTAATGTGAACTGCATACTGCTTTGAACATCGACATCTTGAACGCATATTGCGGCCATGGGTTAGCCTGTGGCCACGCCTGTCCGAGGGTCGGCTTACAAACTATCACGACGCCCAATAAGTCGTGGCTTGGATTTTGCCAGCTGGCTTTACTCCCCAGTCGGAAACGTCAGGGGTGTCAGATCTATGGCGTTATCCTAATGTATCCGGATACACACACCTAGTTATCAGACAGGTGGAGATGTGTCTACGGAGTCGTGGCTCAGTAATATTTATGCGCGCTCTGTAGAACATCTCGTGTGGTGAATTCCGAAATACGGCCTTCTAATCCTGACCTCGGATCAGACGTGATTACCCGCTGAACTTAAGCATATCACTAAGCGGAGGAAAAGAAACTAACAAGGATTCCCCCAGTAACGGCGAGTGAACAGGGAAAAGCCCAGCACCGAAGCCTGTGGCCAGTTGGTCATTAGGCAATGTGGTGTTTAGGTCGTTCCGCAGAAGCGCTGCTCCACCCCAAGTCCATCAATGAGTACGGTAGTACAGACATGGCCCATGGAGGGTGAAAGGCCCGTTCGGGTGGAGATTCGGCAGGCCAGTGCTTCTCTGGGTAGACCTTGGAGTCGGGTTGTTTGTGAATGCAGCCCAAAGTGGGTGGTAAACTCCATCCAAGGCTAAATACAAGCACGAGTCCGATAGCGAACAAGTACCGTGAGGGAAAGTTGAAAAGTACTTTGAAGAGAGAGTTAACAGTGCGTGAAACCGCTCAGAGGTAAGCAGGTGGAGTTGAACTGCAAGCTTTGAGAATTCAGCTGGTGAGGTTGGTTTGGGCTTGGTCAAATTGGTTGGGCCCCGAAGTACGTTAAACCACGTGTCCTTTCCCTTTGGGTTGGGATGTGCGATACACTTACCAAGTGTTGCACGCTTTGGGTGTTCATCGAGCCTCCTTGTCAGTGCACTTTCTCAGAGTGGTCACCACGACCGACGCCGCTGTCAGGCTGTCATAGTTAAACCGGTCTTGTAGTGTCCTTGTGGCATTGCCTGGTCGGGATGGCAGGTAGCTTGTTGGCTCGCTTCGGCTTGCTTTCGAGTGTAATCAGCTGACTGTGACGGTTCTGTGCAGTGCGTCGGAGACGGCGGCCAGTGGTGTGTGCATGCGTGCCCGATTTGTTGGCGTACCCTGGTTTGGTTTCTGTGTTGCCTGTGATAGCAGGCCTAGTTATGGCTGGGGTTCGTTCGGCGAATGGTTGCGTGTGTGGCACTTCCAAGGGCCAATAGTCTGTGGTGTAGTGGTAGACTATCCACCTGACCCGTCTTGAAACACGGACCAAGGAGAGTAACATGTACGCGAGTCATTGGGCGTAACGAAACCCACAGGCGCAGTGAAAGTAAAGGTTTGGCTTGTCCAGACTGAGGTGAGATCCTGTCGTGTCCCACGCGTGGTGTCACCAAGCACGGAGCGGCAGGCGCATCACCGGCCCGTCGCATGACGTAGTCTCATCTTCGGATTGTGCATCGTCGTGGCGGAGCATGAGCGTACATGTTGAGACCCGAAAGATGGTGAACTATGCTTGCGCAGGTTGAAGCCAGAGGAAACTCTGGTGGAGGACCGCAGCGATTCTGACGTGCAAATCGATCGTCAAACGTGAGTATAGGGGCGAAAGACTAATCGAACCATCTAGTAGCTGGTTCCCTCCGAAGTTTCCCTCAGGATAGCTGGCATTCTGAGAAACAAACAGTTTTATCCGGTAAAGCGAATGATTAGAGGCCTTGGGGACGAAACGTCCTCAACCTATTCTCAAACTTTAAATGGGTGAGAAGCTTAACTCGCTTGAGTGGAGTTATGCGTTGAATGTGAGTGCCAAGTGGGCCATTTTTGGTAAGCAGAACTGGCGCTGTGGGATGAACCAAACGTGCGGTTAAGGTGCCTAATGCAACGCTCATGAGATACCACGAAAGGTGTTGGTTGGTCCAGACAGCAGGACGGTGGCCATGGAAGTCGGAATCCGCTAAGGAGTGTGTAACAACTCACCTGCCGAATCAACCAGCCCTGAAAATGGATGGCGCTGGAGCGTTGAACCTATACCGTACCGTCACTGCAAGCTGAGTCGATGGCGTGTGGCGTGGGTTGATACCCAAGACTCAGGCAAGGAATGGTGGTGACGAGTAGGAGGGTCACCGTGGTGAGCGGGAAGCTCCGGGCGTGAGTCTGAGTGGAGCCGCCACGGGTGCAGATCTTGGTGGTAGTAGCAAATATTCAAGTGAGAACCTTGAAGGCCGAGGTGGAGAAGGGTTCCATGGGAACAGCAGTTGGCCATGGGTCAGGCGGTCCTAAGTGATCCGGTAACTCGGTACAGAGACGGGGTGCCTGACATGTTCAGGATTGCTGCGATTGTACTGTTGCAAGCAGCCCCCTGTAGCGAAAGGGAATCGGGTTAATATTCCCGACCCTGCCCACGGAGATTGATGTGTTCTGGCCTTGTGTTGGTTCGCATCGAGCGCGGTGACGCAAACGACCTCGGAGACGTCGGCAAGAGTTCTGGGAAGAGTTCTCTTTTCTTTATTAGGAGTGCACCATCCCCTGGAATCGGGTTGTCCGGAGATAGGGGACTAGCCTCCGTAAAGCACCACCCCTCTTGTGGTGTCCGGAACGCTCTTGTCGGCCCTTGAAAATCCGAGCGAGGCATTATAATTTTCGTGGCAGGCCGTACCCATATCCGCATCAGGTCTCCAAGGTGAACAGCCTCTGGCAATTGAACAATGTAGGTAAGGGAAGTCGGCAAATTGGATCCGTAACTTCGGGAAAAGGATTGGCTCTGAGGGCCGAGCCAAATGGGCTGGAGTCAGAAACGTTTCGGTCAAGTTGGGGGCTGGTTTTTCTGTTTGTCCTGGTTGCTTCGACCAGCCGGGACTTATGGAATCACTGGACTCTGACCAGGCCGATCGTGGGCGACTTCAGCTAGCGTGTTGCCTGGTTAGCAGCGTGTGCGGGAAACCGTGTGCGTGACGCGGCCTTGCTTCCTTCGTTTGG